AGAACACCATTGGAAAATTCGTAAACTTAAGGAATCAGCACATATGCCAAGGCCACAAAAATCTTCTGAGCCGACCAAGCATAGAAATAAATACAATATGGGAACAAGTAATAAGGAGTGCCAGAGAAAAGCGATAATAACAACAAAAATTGCAGTATGAGCTCCGGTAAAAATCATGCAATGATAACAGCAAAAATTGCAATATGAGCACTAGCAAAAATGGTTGCTGAAGACATTAGGTTTATAATACCCAGAAATTCATACACAAGGACACATGGCACAGTGGATAAAGGCGTTAATTAGATCCAATGACAGGACCCAAAGAATGTGAGTTCAATACCCAGTTAAGGCAGTGGAGAACTTGGAGAGGGGAATTAACAGGAGATAACTGATAACTGACATCCATTAGACATGGCACGTGGAACTAGAACAGTGAGCGAAATAAAGGGCTCAGTTCAACATTCCAATGACCTGAAGAAGTGGTGACAAAGATGAGGACAATAGTCTGAATAATGTAAATAACGTACCACCGTGTTAACATGAAGAATATGATAAAGTTGTCCAGTTGTTGGGAGTAAAGTATCTTAGTGCCTTTCCATGTTATTCTTAATTAAAGCAAAGTATCTAATGAACCTGTCCTTTGCCTATGAGGAAGGAACAATTCATAACCCGGATTAGGGTAAAGACAATAGACATTTTATAGGAATTCATTCTTAACAATAATTGTTTATTGAATGAAAAACGGAAAAGCCTTCTTGGCTGTACAGTAGTGTAAAGATGTCTCAATCTATTGAAATGGAGTTTAATCCTCACTGAGGGCCAAAAAATGTGGCCTTGTGCTAAAATTTGCTCAGTACAACAAATGAAAGTGAAATTCTATTTCAGGGCGTGCAGCAAAAATGGCACATTGTAGCAAAATCTCTATTAGCTTAATACTTTTAAAATGCTCAAATAATAATTTGAAGAATAAAGTAAGTGTTGATTTGATTTGTCAGTATTTATATTCACTTCCATAATCTACCAGAATAATGCAATTTTTCAAGGGAAATAACTCCAGTTATATTAAAAGCTAATTATAGAGTAGTTTCCCTTACTTATTTGCAAATAATTTTCTCTATCTGATCTTGTACATTTAGGGCATTTAGACATGGTGTAATGGTTAGGAAACTTGTCTCATTAGATGAGTAGTGAGTTCGATCCTCACTGGGTGCTCCACACTTTCAGCCTTGTGTTATATGTAAGACTTCAACGTGGTGTAATGGTTAGCAAGCTTGTCTCACTAGCCAGATCAATTACAAGTTCAATTCTCACTGGATGCTCAACACCTTCGGCCTTGTACCACATCTAAGCTACATTTAAAATGCCTCACTAGATCAATTACGACTGAGTAATGAGTTTGTAGGAATATTATTATAAATATAAATAAAATATAAAATAATAATAAAACAGTAACATAAAACCTTGCATAATAAAATAAAAAATAATAAAAACTCTCCCAGCATGCAACAAAAACTGTTCCTGCCAGAAATACTGACATCCTATCAAATTCAATCTCTTCACCATGAAGTTTGGTATGGGCAACACATGTCCAACTTCTCTCTATAATATGGCTTGTAGTATTACAGAGTAAATTTCTTCCTTTTATCACATGTACCATAAAACAATTCTAACCTAAAAAATACACACCCCAATATGAGTAAAAAAAAAAGTAACATACAATTTACAATGTTTTTTCAGTTATTTCTGCACATTTTATTTTCTGTCAAGTATGCTTTTATCTCCGTGAACACAAAGCTAATTTCTACTGCTATAATGTGAATAAACCCCCATAACATTTTGGTGACTACTGACATGTTTTTTGAAGCCACTAGGATGCAGGGGGTTGCAGAAGATTTGGAGCGAGAGCAGATGGGAGTGATAGAGGAAAGGATGAGGAGAGGGATAGTGGATAGATCAAGGTAATTGGATATGTCAATTGACATTACATTTGAATAGTTGGAGATTATAGCTCTCAGGGAAACAGTAATTGGGAAGGGTGTTCCACAGGCGAGAGGTGTGAGGTATGAAGCTATTGGAGTAGAAGAGATGGCTACATTTAAAAGTGTTTCTACAGTGTAAGGGTGGGCGGGATGCCAGCCTCGCAGGGCGCTTGAATTCATGGCGTCTGGGAACCAGTGAAAGCAGCTCATCGGAGCAATTACCATGAAAGTATTTGTAGAAAAAGACAGAGAGAGGCAACGGCGCTGTCTGAGAGAGAGGACTGTAGACGAGACACCAGATCAGGGCCAATTACATTACATATCCGTCTCTGGATCTTGTCAAGAACTCCAAGGTAAACAGAAGGTGCCCCAGACCATATATGGCAGCAATACTAAGAGAAGCAACCTATTCACCCACAAGTTTGATTCTCACTGGGTGCCCCATACCTTTCACTTTGTGCTGCATCTAAGCTACGCTTAGAAAACCGCTAATTTCACATTTATATGTTTGTCATTGTAAAATAGTAAAGATGGCACACCATAGGATGATATTTGTTAGAGCAATACTTTAAGGACAGAGCAATTTCCAGTTAAGTTTGCACTGCACTATTGTGAGGTCTGCATTTACTTTTACTTTGTTGACTAATTTGTTTTTCAAACGAGATAGTTTTGTGCATATTAATGTTATTTATACAATAGTTTCTCTTATTTATTTCTTTATTTATACACTTGGCAAATAGAAAGAAAATGTAAATAATGTAATGGACATCGTCATGGAAAGGTGAACTGACAAACCAAATTTCAGTTCCAGACCAGTTGCTTTCACTTTCACACTAAGACCCTTAAGGATGGCATGCATTCATTTCTTCCCTTGCTTTCCAGCTAGAGGTTAAATAGCAGAGTACAGGGTGGTCCGAAAGTCTTGTCACCCTATAATTTTCTGACATGAAAATCATCATATTCATACAGACCTTCTTGATGTGTAACAGCATCAATGAAAGTGAATAATAAACTGAATCCAGTACACATGCTTTGTATTACTCTATTACTTGTTCTTCTATTGTTCTCATTACCTTTTGACAAGACAAGACATTTGGACCAACCTGTAGATTGGGCCAGTGTAATTTTGAAGAACAGGAAACAACTCCATTAGTCCATTATCTTTCCGAAAAACGAATGACAATATCACAGATAATAAAAAAAAAAGGTACCGCTGTACCTCACGTGATACCTTTTTCTTTATTATCTGTGATATTGACATGTCCAGTAAATAGCAATGCATAACCTAACCAACTTCATACAGCTTTTTATTGCTTTTTTTTTTATTGCTGTTGTTTTAAATATTTGTATATAAAAATGCAATTTTTGCATTTGTAGCATTATACCTCTATAGAGCTGTGAATATATTTTTTATTTTTAGAATATTTTAAAGACACAAAATTTCTGTTATCCTTTGTCATTTCTAACATTCTTAAATTCTCCCCGATGATAAAATATATAAACACAGCCAAATGTAATTTTAAAAATTTCTGTTCACCTTTGAACAGTTTGCTGTAAGATTTTCTAGTGCTTATGAAGAAAAACTTAAAAAATATATATAAATCAAGATTTGATAAAATGAACAAATTAGATTCAAATTATAGCAGACATGTTATTAAAACATATTCTGTTAATTACTCAGTTTCAGACAAAATAAAAATGTCTTTTTATTGAAAATTATTAATAAGATATGATAGTCCTATGATTGGATATTAACTTAAAATAGAATTTAATTAACTTATAATTTATGGAGAAAGATAAAATTTAATCAAATTTATATCAAATTATTAATCTACAAAGTTTCAGTTTTTAAGTACATATATTAAGTAATTAAAAATTTTATATTTTAAAATAGAACTAAGCCTTTTTCTGTTAAACATCTGCATGTATTCTTGTGTTTAATACTACATCAGCATGCCAAATATAAATTAAAGTCTGAGTAACAGTCCGAGTAAAAGTTTGAGTTGAAGCAGAAATCTTCCCATATCTAGTCTATTTCTTATCCTATAAAACCTGTCATATAAAAAAGAAACCAGACTAAAATAAAAAAAAAAAACAGTTATTGTAAAAGTCACGTTAACAAATTCTCACTTATAAAAAATTTGTATTTACACTTTATCTGATTTCTTCTTTTTCTTTCTTCTTTTTTCATGGCTAAGTTGAATATTTTTACAAAGCCAAATTTTCACCCTGTCAACCTTCTTCTATGTACCATGTTCCTTCAAGCCATGGCTCTCTACAGCTTCCTTTCCTTTGTAGCTCTTAATAAGGCTTGTCTTTTCACTATCTCTAATCCTTGTTCTGCCAACCATTTACACGAGCATGTGTTACATTCTTCTTAAAACAAGATCTTCTGATTCATGCTACACTAATTCCCACCACTGGACAGATGTGAATGCTCTGAAACCAAGACTGAACTAAAATTCCATCAACTGGGCATAGGCTTCACACATACCTTCCATACAATGAAAAAAATGAACAATACAATCCAGAATTTCCACCCAATAGCACCCACTCCTGCTTAAAGAAACAAAATAAAAACTGTAGTTGATTTGAGCTTAAGAAAGGATATAAAAGCCTGTCAAAGGGACATGTTTGGCTGTCGAATGGTATAACAGCCCAGATTCACAATGCCCATTGGAATGTGACCTCCCATCTTCGAAAGACATCTTGGCAAAGTCTATTGCTGCAGTAAGTCACAACTCACCCTCCTTGTCCTAACATACGGCTCTGCAGTCGACTTTTACAACTCCACTTATCTCCTTTCAATGAGAGACATTTACACCGATTTATCATTTGTTGTATTTTACATTAATACAATTGTTTATTTCATAAACTGCCCTTGTTTCTTCTTTGTTCTGCCACCATACGTTTAATATAACACTTATTAAGCTATTCACTGCTTTCCTCTATCTTTCTTGCCTTCAGTATGCCCTGTGAGTGTCAAATTCTCCAAGTACTCTTCTCAATTCCCAGCGTTTACAGCTATATCACATTGAAACATTGGTTCTCCTACAATCACCAAAGTTAAACAATGTTGAGCCTGGTCAGTACCTAGATGGGTGACCACTTGGGCATACCAGGTGTTTTAAGCTTGGATGTATGTGTAGTGTAATGGATAATGTCTTGGAATTGGAAATCGGAAAACAGTGTTCCAATTCCAGTCAGGTTCATTATATTCATTTACACACAAATCCTTCTCCTGTGAAAGCTATGAATCGACCTCTTCTTCCCCCAACTATGGGTTAATTAGTAGCACTTGTATCAGTAAATCCTTATTATCTCTAAAACATTCTTACAATTTAAAAAAAAAAATTTTCTGGCTTTAAATAACCTGTAAGATGTTGGTAAGCCATAAAAAACAGACAAATCCATAATTTCTTATGTTATTTAAAAGATTATTTCTTTCAGGTTTCTTCTAATAATACACTGTTGTAAATAAAACATATAAACATAAATTTTAATAAGTGTTGTCAAAAAATACAAGAGTAACAATCATTTTGGGACAGAGATACTACATGAAAACAATATTGTGACATGACATAATGTTAATACACAGTTACATCTAAAAGACGTCATTAAATCAGCTGGTAGGTCTACTATTGTTATTATATTTATATATAAAAATGTAGCTTTAAAATAAATCCAAATGCACTATTAAATATAGTTACATTTGAAGGTGGGAAGGTCAAATTGGTCTCTAATCTGATAATATTTTGTTTTTTGTTGAGTTGGTCAATTCTTTCAAAAACCTTTAACTTGAAGATAAATCAGAAGACATGTTTAAGTCACCATCTCCATTCTAACAAACTAAAGATGACTGGAGATTGACTCATTCAAAGTGTAACAATGAAAGAATTTGCAAAAAATGAGAATTTACAATAATTAGAGATTGAATGTGAAGATTTGAAAAAAATTATGTGATTGAAAAACAATTTTGCTACATGTTGACTGTTTCAGTCAACAATATCTACAGGCAAGGCAAATTCCCAAGAAGAAAGTACACATCAGTTCTGTACAGCCATTTTTAACCCACAAGATACATTTTCTGCATTTTATAACAATTTTATAAGGATATCCTTTTTACATTAATTCTGTGTGTGTGTGTGTGTGTGTGTGTGACATTTCTTGCTCTGCAATTAAAAAAAAAAACAGACTTATATTTCTTATTTTCTTACAATTCTAAAATTAATTTCATACAAAAGAACAATGTAGTATGAAAAAGAAAAGTAACATTACAATGTGAAGATTTTGTTTTTTTAACACTATAATTAACAAGATATTTCACCTTGAATTGATGAAGCAACATATTTTTTTTCTGTTGCTGTTCTCATATAGTCTATTAAATTCTTAGCAGTCAAACATGTTTGTTTATGTTTTCTTTTTAACTGACTGAAAATTTCTTTTGCTACCAAACATCTTTAAGCACCTAGAAAGGTCAAAAGGTCTAAATTTTAGACTTTCTGGTCTCTAAAAGTGAAAATCTATCTATCTATCTATCTATCTATCTATCTATCTATTTCATTGTTTAGGACTTCATTGGACGAAATGCTTCAAATGAAAACTTTTTCCCACTTTGTCATACATTTTTCTTAATCTATTTTTTCTTAATATATTATTCTTAATTTAATTTTCTAATCCTCAGTTAAATTTAGAATTTGAAATTTTTAATTTTACTGTGAAATTAGAACTTAATTATTTCATATTGATTTCCAGTTTAATCTAACATTAACTTTAATACATTAATGTTTTGTATTTAGAATATACTGTCACGTTTTTTGAATTATCATATACTTGTATTCTGATTGGTCATCATAGGTTACAAGGGGGGTTTTGATTTGGTTTTGAATTTTCAAAAAAAAACTCAATCAACACCATAACTTGATAAGACATCAGAAATGTTGAAAGAAAATGGCTATTTTTGTAGAGGTGTTATAACATGCTTATGTTATAATTTTTGAATAAATATTATTTGCTCTACTTTGTAGTGAGCACTTTTTAAAAAATAGTGGTTTTGGTTATTGGAATTCTATTCCATCTATACCAACTCTATACTGTATATATATATATATATATATATATATATATATATATATATATATATATGAATAAATTACAGACATTATGACTGCTAATGTTTAACAAAATTTGTTTATATTCACAAATAACCTCCTGTGTATTGATATTAAAGAATGAGAGAAATGTGCTATATCTGTTTAAATTTGTTTTATTTCTATTTCCTAAGTACTTTCAACCTTCTTCCAAGATCATCTTCAGGGGTGCAAGTAGTACAAAACAATATGTTGTTCAAGGGTACAAGTATTTATACAAACCTGTGCATTGCTATCCTTTAACATAATTTTTCATTATGCTTTTAAATGCAAATGGTTGACAATGTACTGAGCATTCATTAGAATGTAAAAAATTATCCATTATGAAATTTTTTCCTCTATATTATAATGTCATGGTCACGAGCGCATTAAAGCATGAAAAAACTGTTCCTTTACAGGCATTTCAGAACATTACTGCAGTATTCATAGTTAATTCTATTCAGTGCTGGCTTTAATTTTTTAATATAAATTGCTTCTAAGATCTGTAGCTTGAATTTATTATTTTCTTGTTGTAGGATAGTTGTGTATTGATCAGTAATTTTTTATATTGTGAATATGGACAGGAATGTTGTTGTAGATGTCTCACAATGGACACAATTAAAATACACAAATTTTATATATATATATATATATATATATGACAATAATCAATTTTTTCCCAAAGTAAAAAAATGATTCGTTTATATTTATAACTTGTTAAATTTGCTCTCTCTCTCTCTATATATATATATATATATGAACAATTTTATTAAATTCAAATTACAAAGTCTGTCTGTTTAATTTAACACAAAAATAAAATTCTTTCATAATTGCTTATTGAAGCCCAAAATAATCAAAAGACATTGGACAATTTATGCTCTGCTCAAAGCGTATCTAAACATAAACAAATGAGGTCACACACTGCCATATGATATAAACATTCGAGGGAAAGTATTGGAAAATTGTAGTTTAAAAGCAGTATAACTGACCTTGCTAAGCAGATGCTCATCTGTAACTAAACTGGTATATCACATCAGGCTATATGACAGTTCTGTGTAGGATACAGGTTTGATTCCTGTCAGAGGACACATATTTTCTATGAAAATTTCTCAGACGTTCAGGCCAGTAAATGCTGTTAATACTGTTTATTATAAACAGAGCATTTACTTAAATATTTGTGTCTATATAAATAATGTATATATATATATATATATATATAAATATATATATAGTAAAGGTAAAAAATCTGTTGGTATATAATCCAAGTGGATCCTAGTAATATAATATATTAAAAATGATCCACAAAAAGAGCTCAATGTATTTATTATTACAGAGCAATATAATTAATAAACAATAAAATCCAAAATTACTTCATATGTGGAATAGTCTATTTTGGCAGATGAAGATATTGGTCATCTGCCTTATCAACCCCTGTGTGGAATGAAGTTTGTGTTTATACATTTAGGAGAGGCAGGAAGTAGAATTTGACTGTGAAACCTAGAAAAACCTGTCAAAAACATCTTAAACAGAATTTATCCAGTTCAATGTTTCAGTCAGACGAAAGGCACAAAACAGGGGTCAGGGGAGGGTGGAAGGTATTTGTCTTAAAGAGAAGAAGTTTTATAAAATAAAACCTGAATATTAACCTTAATTTGGGATTATATAAAAAATGAAATTTACATACACTCTATCTCTAATATCGATCATTTTATCCCATAAATAGAGCACACCTTAAAACTATATTTCTTCATACATATATATAAAGTGATCTAGCTAATGTCTTATCATTTTTTTCAGATACCATCATGACTTGGATTTGTGCACACAGTGCATTTTCAAGACGAGTGAATCTGTAATTACAATGCAGAGAGCATTTCATGCTTATTTCATGTTACATCAGAATCTGTGCTGTTCTGCATAAAAGATTGATACTGCCATGAATTGAAAATTTCAGGGCTGCAGGGTTCAACACTTAAAAGAAAGCCACCTGGAAGATCTCAAAGTACTTCAACTCCAGAAAATTTTCCTGACGACAGAAAATCATCTACAACAGCGTTTGACAAAAAGAGGCTACAGAGATGTGATTTTTTTAAAGAACAAATGAATAAAAACTATAACCCTTTGTTTAAACAACAGTGAAATAATTTTTTAATAGAAGTTATCTTGATTTTTTTGTCAACCTTTAAAATGGAGGAGGTATTTCTACCACCCTGTATACATATAAAAGTGGACACTGGGGACAACGCTGAGTGGCAAGAGTGTGTTTTATGCTTGAACGCAATCTTCAAGCAGGTATGTGTTGTGTTTAGGCTTATCTATTTATATATGCTGTTCAATGGTGCATTATGGGTAGCAAGGTCTATTGTATTATCCTAATGGCTATTGGTTAGGCATTCACAGTTATATTTCAAATTATTCTAGAGCCTATTAATTTGTTGTAAATTAGGGAAGGTTACTGAATAGAATAATCAAATGAAGATTGGTAATGAACGATAATACTTAGGACAAGAACAGCACATATAAGATTCACCAGTTTTTTGTCAACTTTTTACTTATTATTAATTACTTAATTATTTATTGTTGATTATTATTGTTACATTTACTTGTGTTTATGCATTCATCGTAGTTTGTTAATTCCTTTATTGTTTACTTAATATGTTTATTTAATTTTTTTCTAGGTTGTTTATTTTAATTGTTTAGTTTAAAAAATTGACTTTGTCTAAAGTATTTTACATTATCTGATTTGTATATAGTGCATATATATGCATTTTCCATGATGGTATTTTATAAGATATTCATTTGTAGTGTGTGTGAAAATGGACATTGAGGTAAAAACAGAGCAGTAGCAGGTTGTTTCATGTTTGAATACAATCTTCAGGCCATGTCTTTTATGTTGACTATTTATATATGCTGATCAATGGCACATTGTCTTATCCTGACAAATTTTATATAAAATCAAATTATTCTACAGGTGATTTGAATATAAATAATTGTGGAT